CATATTTTCGGTTTAGGAAAACAAAAACAGTAAAGAAAAGTACCGAGTTCACTTAGCTGTGGCTTCTTCTTTCTTATCACCCAAGTACCTACCAATAAGATACACAGAGAACAGAAATTAGAAGCAAATTCGGTCTCATGAACAAAGAACTTGAATATATTCACTTTGGATATTCGTGATCATATGAGAAAATATTGTTCACTATACTTTTCGTGATTGAAGAAGCTTTGGGATCAACATTATTTTCTAAAACCGCAAACAGTGTAATTGTCCTAATGGGAAAAATATAGCTAAGCTAAGAACTAGAATCAAACCAAAGCTGATACAGTTTCATATGGGTTTGTTTATGAAGCTGTCATATCTCCAAATACAGTTGATGGGGTCATTTGAAAATGCTGCTATGATTCGAATCAAATGTAAAATTAGCATCTTGCAACTCGATCATGTCTCCCCACAAAGTCAACTCGTACATATGTTTTACCCGTTTTTTTCTTGATCCACATGTTGCATGTTGCTGTACCTTTTCTTGTATGATTTAGCACACATAAAGATTGCGCTTTCTACCTCATTTCGACAATAATAAGAAATTTCGGTTTTTTTTTTTTTTTTTCTAACTTCAGATACATCTGCTTTGCACTTTTACGAAGTCCATAAAGAAACTTTTTACGAAAAACTACAGATCATAGCTTTTTCTAAATAGTCGTCACAAACTTTCCCTTTTTCCTTCTCTGTACAAAACATTTTGTTTTCCTGAAGATTTTTTAACTACAACGACAATTATTTAGAAAGAGAGGGAGGATAGTATTGTGCATCTTTGGAAGAACGCATTATTGCAGAATAAGAAACTTTTTATAAGTTACTATATCTCATATTTTTCTATTTTGTATTTTTATTAATAAATAGTGTATATTAATGTAGTGAAATATTTGTTTATCATTATACTTTTTTGGACCATACTAATTTTTTTTTCTCATATTTTTATGTAAATTATTTTATATAACCAATTGTGTCTATACTATTAATAAACATTTAACAATTCGGTCAAGTAAACAAACACTAATTTGGAATATCAGATATCAATTCCTCCTCATCGGCTAAATCAAGCACATCAATAACTACGTTAATCTGGAATTTTGGATAATAGTCGCTTAAGAGGGAGTCGAGTATCTGTGATGACAAACAAAGGTATTTTCAGTTACATGAAGTTACATCAATGAGAATAAGAAAAAATTCTAATTGGTCCTCATTTTCACCCATATTATATTTTCAGAATAAATCCTACTTAAAACTTGAGAGTTTGTTTGAGGCCATATAAATTTATCAACAATACTCAATATATAAAAATAAATAAATAAAAACAAGTAAAAATCATTACACCTAGGTAGTGGAACTCACCCTTGGCCCTTGGCCCAGCGTGAGAGTTGATAGAGTTGCACTGTCTCGTTCGAAGCATGACAGGCAAGCAGCAGATAGTTGCGAGGCTGAACCATCCATGCAAACCTCATGAATAACCCAGAATATACGCACATTGCTGCATAATTATTTTATAAAATAATAATAAAAAAAAAAACTGTTAAAATCGGGTTATTTCGAATTAGAAGGAAATAGTTTGCTCCAGAATTTTAATGTAAGACCTGCAGTCATGTTGCCCGATATCATTTCTGGGGGTTTCTTCATGTCCACCAGTCCCTTTAAAAAACCATTTAACAGTAATTTATCAAAATTTCCAAACCTAAGTAACTTACTTATTCTGAGTTTTTTTTACTGCTCGGGCGGGCTAAAAGAGGCATACCGCAATGACAAATCCCCAGTTAGCTACAGGGCCCCAAAAATGAGTCGTCTTGGGTCCAACGGGACTGTTCAAAAATGCTTTGAAGGAAGAAGCCATTGATGAGTCACCGAGCAGACCTGTGTATACAGATATAATCAGCCAGAGTCTGCATAGATAATGTATATTGAAACAATAACCAAAAATGTTCCAGTGACAAAATATGTTGCATTGATCATGAAAATGGGCAAAAGTGTATTTACAGAAAAGTTTAAACAGTAAAACACATAAGAAACCGAGTGACACGCGCAGATGAAACAAAATAGAGATAACAAGATACAATGACTGGCATATACATTGACTACCAAATGGTTCGAGGCAACCCAAAAACGATACACACAATGACACAAAGCGAACAACTCTTAATCGAAAACCTCAGAATACGAATCCCTGCAATCACCCTTACCCAAGGACAGTTAACAAAACTGATGGAAGCTAAAACAAACAGAATTACGAAAGGGAAATATGTCAAAATAAATCATACGCAAAGTTAATACGTATAACATAAATAACGTGTCGGCTGTAAAACGCCCTCACTTGTACACCATAAGACTCACTTGTACACCATAAGAGACTAATTCTAGCAGTCCTAAGAATTTGCAGAAACACCATGAAACCTCTGAAGTCTGACTACATAAACTGTTCAGACCAATTAACCTCTCATAATTCATACCAAGTCTAGACTTTATCAAATCCAAGAAATTGGGAAAACCTGAAGAACAAACAACATTGTCAATCACTGCGCAACCAAATGGAGCAAGATCGAAATTCCGAATAATGTTCCCTCAACTGAACCCTTATTTATTTTTATTTTTTTTTTAGTACAGGGACCTTCCGGTTTCCAATCCACAGGGGAACCGACTAATCCAGAATCGAGCCGAGTAGGACCATAAGGGCGGCAAAACTCTCCCTCAAGAGTTTTTAACACTGCTGTGCATTCCCAGGACTCGAACACAGATAAACCCTTATTTTCTATACCGTTTGAGCAAACCCTTCAATCTATTTGGTTATACAAACACAGATAAACCTTCAATTTTCTTCAAGATTGTGTGTATTTTCATGATTTGAATAAAGTGCCATAGAAATCATCATACCCAACAAATAAAAATCCCAACTTTTGGGGAAAAAGAAAAGGAAAAAAAAAAAAAAAAAAACGAATCAGAAACACGAGAAATTCACTTGTACGTACAGAGACACAGATTAATGTGTACATAAATTTCGCAAAGGTCGTACCTTTTTGCGAAAATTTCTCAGTGTTCGTTGATTGAAATATAAAGGAAAAAAAAATAAAAAAAAAAAATTAAACTCTCGATATCGTTGTTTGGTGGTGGGTCAATTTATGCACGAGGAGAACATGACCTGACCGACCACACTACAAAACCCGATGATTTGGAGTGAAATTTCGTATAAATTTTTTTTTTTAGAAATCTATAAGGCAGTGTTTGGTTTAAGGGAAAACGGAGAAGAGGGAATCTTTTATTTTTTCATTATTTGGTTCAATTTTTTTATAGAGGTTAGGATTTTCCCTTCAAATCCTTGAAAACTCTCTCCTCCAAAAGTGGAGGAATTTGAAGGAGAGGGAAATTTTTTAACAAATTATTCTTTTGATCTTAATGTTAATTATTGTATTTTTTTGTTTCTTACATCGTTAAGGGTATAATTGATATTTTTTACAATATTTTTTTTTTCCCTAGTCTACCATGTAGACGAACCCCTTTTTCACACTTCGATAGTAAATGCTCTGAAGTGCCTGATTATCTTGAGTTTTTTCTTCATGATTTTCTTCTTAATTTTGTGACAAATAAAAAGAGATCGTCGACGAAGAACAGACCAAACAAGGTTTACCATTTTCTCTCAACTTCTCCTACAAAATCCCTCCAAACAAGGTATGTTATTTTACATCACATCCACTCCCTTCACCTCACTTCCATTAAAATCTCTCCCCTCCCTTTCTCTTATTTGAACCAAACATAGGCTAAAATTTAAACAAATTCTAGTCTCAAATAAGATACATACTACTCAGAATTTTGTATTATTTTTTAAAATCTCAATTGAAGACCCCAAAACCTTTGAATGTTTCTTAACAAATCTAAATTTAATACATCAAGTTTTCTAAAGTCTTAAAAGGTTTTTAGAATTTAAATTAAAATACAAATATCACTCGAAATCCTAAACGAACCCACCCTTAAATAATTGAGAGTTTGAACAACTAATTAATCTCGTTCGTTAAATAAATTGAACTTATTTATCAAATAAATCCAATCAATAGCATATATGACATAGTAAGAACAAGTTCACTCTGCATGTCTTTTTTTTTTTTTTTTTTTTTT